TATATATATATATATATATAATATTATTAATATTTTTATTAATTGTTATTATATATATATATACAGATTTTCACCTTTGAATCCTTGGAGGAGGAGAAGAAGAAGAATCAATAAGGACTGGTGGAAGGATACGAATTTTTGGATTTCTTTTATGAAGCCTATTTTGTTTATAATTATATGTCATTGGATCATTGATAACACGATCTTTAGATAATTTCAACATTTTTTTCCAATAATAATGTTCATTTAAATTATAAACATTTTTATTCATTGAAGTGTCTCTTCTAATTTCCGGTAATGTATTATTATATTTTTCATAATTATTTTCAATTATATAAGATTTATTATTAACGTTATCTTTTTCATTGCAGATTGAATGAATACTTTTGGATGATCGTTTTTTATTAACATAATCATTCTCTTCTATGGATGATATCAATGTATTCGTACTGCCACGAAGTAAATTCATATTTTCTTGAATTTTACTATTAATTTTGATTGATCGTATTGTTGAGGTTTTTGAATTAATTGTTAATGATCTTTTTAAATCATTTTTGTAATCTTTATGATTAATTATTATTGTATTTTTATTGTTTATATTTTCTTCATTTTCTTCATCGTTTACTTTTTCTTCTTCTTCTTCATCTTCAACATTTTCTTCATCTTCTTCATTATTTCCTTCTTTTTCTTCATCATCTTCTTCATCATTTTTTTCTTTATTTTCTTCATCATTTTCTTCTTTTTCTTCTTCATCATTTTCTTCTTTTTCTTTTCCATCGTCTTCTTCTTCAGTGGAATATTTAAATTGTTCATTTGAATAGTTCTCATAAATTAGGTTATGTAACTCTTCTTCGGACTTTGTATCAGATCCACGTAAATAATATGAATCATTTTTATCAATATACTCGACAAAGTTTGAATTATTATTATTATTATTATTATTATTCATTTTATTTTCATTATCATCAACAAATGATAAATTGTTTTCATTCAAATTGATATTTTCTACCAACAAATCATCTTTCATTTCATTCACAATTTCTATATCCGAGGAAGATGATAATGGAACGATATCATCGTTTATCATTTTATTTTCAATCATTATATTAGTATAAAACAATTTATCAGATTGATCGTCATTATTAATAACATTATCAACAACTTTATCGTATTTTTCTATCGGATAAATAATTGATTTATCTTCTGTTGAATTACAGTAGTTAAACGTTGAATCATTTTCATTGATATCAACAACATTTACATGATTAATTTCATGATTAATTTCACTATGATCATCTTTAATAGAAATCGATTCAATCATTCGATCATCATCATCATCATCATCATTATCATCATCATTATTATTATTATTATTGTTATTATTGTGAGAATCATTAGATTGATTAGAATCTTGTATAATATTTGTATCAATTAAAATATCATGATCATCCGAATCTTTGATCAAATAAGTTTGATTTAATTTTTGTACAGTATTAGACCATGTAATCATTTTATTCGTATCATTTTCAATAAAAGAATAAATATCATTTTTATTGATCAATAAATCATCCATTATTGGTATCATATCTCGATCATTCTTCTTATCATCATCGAATGATTTATTATTATCCGATTGTAAATAAGTATTTACAAGTTGATTACATTTATTCGATGATATTTCATTAATAATATTGTCCTTGATATTTATGTTAAATCTATTATTATTATCACGATTTATTTTCATTTCTTCCCACGTGATTAATTCATCGTCATCATTCTTTTGATCAACGTTGTCTTCTTCGTAATCATAATTGTCGTTGTCATAATCGTTGTTGTATATATTACATGGTTGTACAATCATTTCTAATATATTATCATTAACAGTTACATCGTTTACTTTAGAATCTTTTTGATTTCTAGCTGTTATCACGTGATCAATTTTAATCAAATTACGATTTTTCTTTTCGCATTCCAACGTACGATGATCGATCATCAAAGGAATTATATTGTTGGATTCATCGTTCATTTTATTTTCCAATTTTTTAACTTGTATCATAGTTCGTTGTATTTTGTCAGATTTCGTTGAACATTGTATTGCATCGTTTTGAATGATTTTACCGTTTGATTTCTTCTTAGGTTTTAAGGATATTAGAAGAGGAACATTCACATTTCTCGGTTCAGGGTTGATCGAACGTGAACAGGACGTTGGCCTGAGGAGAAGGAAAAAGGGTTCAAGGAATACCCGAGTAACAACAAATAGAAAGATGACATTTAAACAAATGAACAAATAAAATGAAGAAAGTAGAAGAGGAGGAGAAAGAGGAGGAGAAAGAACGGGAAATTTTTTTTTTGTAATTGAAACGACCATTGCCCTTTCCCTTCTCCTCGTGCACAAATCACACACAAATCACGTTTTATAAGATACTAATACTAATTCTAATTTTAATAAGATTAATTGATGAAGATAAATGTGCTTACCTATCTGTAGGACGTTTAATTGTTTCTTTTGTTTTTCCTAATTGGTAAGTTTCTGTATTATTTAATTGTTCACCTCTGCCACTGTAATTATACATATATAATACATTAATTTCATTAAAATTATAATAATTGTATTATATGGACCGTTTATCATGAAAATGGGATAAGTCCATTTTTAAAAACAAAAATTTTCAATTTATTTTTTAGTAATTAATTATATATTATAATAATTTTATAGGCGATGGGCTTGAGTAGCAATACACCGAACTACATATGGAGGATGGAATCGGGACGTAGAAGCGTGACGACAGAAATATGGAAAAGAGCGGGTAACTATTTAGTAGAAATAATGAAAATGGGAGAGGAAAGATGGCCAAGAAAATGTTTCAAAGAGGAAGCGAGGAGGGCTCTTAATGGAAACCCAACGAAATGAGGAAGGGAAGTCCAAGAAGCAATGGAGGAAGTTGGCGAAGGAGGTTTGTGGAGAGCGATTGCAAATGGCGATCGAGAAGGAGTGAAGAAGATAATAGAAAAGGCAAAGAAAACAAGGATAGACCAGGAAATCCAACAAGACTGGATCAAAATTGACCAATCAACGTATTGTGAGCAATACAAAAACAGAAAATAATCAATAGAAGCAGAGAAATACTGGGAAAATGGGAATTTAACAGCAGGAATGAAGGAGACCTGGGCGAGACTCAGGTGCGGAAATGTGGGAAAGGAGGGCAATAAGGGATACAGTGACGTAAGATGTAGGTTTTGCGGAAGAGAGCCAGAGAACGTGGGGCACATATGTAGATGCGGGAAAATAAAGGAAAAAATGGGAAAAGCAGTAGTGGAGAACCTAGAGAAGTGGATCGGGGAGAGGGGAGGCGAAGAAATAGATAGAAGAGTAGAAATGGCGCTGAAGGGGGAACCGGTGCCCCAGCTGTGTGCATATATGAGAAATTTCGAAAGGCTGGCCAGGAAAATGGGCCAAGATAGGGGGAAAGGGGGAACGAGAAGATAGACAGAGTGTGAGTGGAACAATTAGACATATAAGGAAATAGAATGTAAGGAATATGTTATAGTTTTTATATAGTCTATATAGTTAAATGTGGTATATTGTTTTATATTGTTTTTATATTGTTAATATTAATATATAATATTATATTAGGGCATAATTAGAATTAAGTATATTATCAAGGGGAACGAACATGTAGGGGGGGCCTTCGGGGTAAACACCCTAAAAGGGTATACCTGAAATAAACTACTTCTTCTTCTATAAAATTAATTAATTATTTTAAAGATTACAATTATATATTATATTAATTGTATATTATAGATTATAATAAATTAATATAATATATATAAAATAAAATATATTTATATATATATATATATATATATATAAAATTTTAAATATATTAAGTATAAAATAATATAATATTTGTGTATTAACAAATTTGTGTCTGTAAAACTTTTAATTTTCTCAAAACGAAAAAAGAATGGATGATACATCATTTTCTAAATAAACGATCCATATACATATTTGTAAGAATACACGTAAACTGCATTAAAATTTAACAAAAATTTTCAATACTCACGTTGTAATTGGTCTTTGAGAATCGATGAAATTTTCTTTAATTTTTTCACGACTATTATCAGGCACAGAAACGGTTTCTCTAATTTTGTTAGGCGGTGTTTTAATAGTTGTACAACTTTGAGAATATTTCTCGCGATTACTTTGTCGACGATTTTTCAAAGCAGGTGCACGATACTTCATACGTGCTTCCAAACGTTCTTTGGCAATGTTTTTGGTTGCTGGACTTATGGGTAATCTCGTTGATCTTTCTTTACACCATGCTACATGACGATCATATGCTTTTATTCCAAATTGACGACTACAAGTTGGACACATTCCTTTTTCATTTGCTCTGGTTGGTGCACCAGTTGACGGTGAAGCCATGTGGGAACTCGATTGTCTTTGATTGATTACTATACTTGCCTGTAAACAATCATATGAATCTGGGTTCATATTGTAATTCAATTCTTTAACATTTATTTCATTCATTCAATGTTATTCATTATGCAACAAAATGCAAATATGCATTGGTAACGTTAGATTTAAAATGCATGTTGCAATATTTACATGTAAGACTCTAATTGAAATGATTAATTGTTGACTTTGATTGATTACTATGCTTGATTTGAAAAAAATTATATGAATCTGGGTTCATATTGCGATTCAATTTTTTAACATTTATTTAATTCATTCAATGTTATTCATTATGCAACAAAATGCAAATATGCATTTGTAACGTTAGATTTAAAATGCATGTTGCAATATTTACATGTAAGACTCTAAGTGATATGATCAATTAGAGTTGTATTATTCATTGATTATGTTCTATAGGTTTTACCGTTTCATTTCTAGCTGCCCTGATTGTTCGTAAAAAATCATCATGAGTTTCTTTCCAAGATGATTTACGTTTTTCCTCATTGGAATATCTTTTTTTTTCTTGTCTTGGAAGAAATTCCGCTAAATCTGTACCCTGTATTCTTTGTTTAGCCGAATCGAATGGTTTTCGTTTTTTTATAGCAGCTCGTTCGCATATCTTAGAATGCTTTTCTAATGATCTTGGCATAAATGTTCTTCCACAAATTGCACAAGGCAATAATACTTCATTTGCATCTCCCTCCATTTATTTAAAATATCTTTTTTTTTCCTCGAAAGTGATGTACTTTCAAATTGAATTCGATCAATGTGATCTGTCGGTAAATTATCGATCGTAAATTTAGAAATATGGTTGGAATCTGTCGGTAAGTTATCGATCGTAATTTTCAAAAATATTTCATCGATATCTTTACCGATCTACTTTTAAATCAAATATATAATTAATGTATGTATACATTTAATTATAATATGATTTAATATAAATTATAAAATTTAATATTAATATATTTAATTAAAAAAATAATTATAATATAAATTTACAGAAAAAATAAAAATAAAAATATAAAAAAATAAAAGTTATAATAAATTACGCATTAAATAAATAATATAAATTTACAGAAAAAAATATAAAAATATAAAAATATAAAAGTTATAATAAAAAATGTATTAAATAAATAATATAATTATATATATATAAAAAATTATTGATTATAAATATACGTTTCTACGTACCAAGATTTTCCAGACATTTTTCTTTTATTCATCGCCATCTTTCTCTCATCAAGATTAATTATTATTAACTCGTAGATAATAATTATAAAACAATACACACTTTGTTTTCTTTGTAATAATCCGTTTTTTTTCTTCGATCATTCAATGATTCAATTTTTTTTTTTCAGATATGTATATCGTCCTCCTCAAGGTCACAGGGAAAAGTACTCGAATAGTTGGTTCTCTCAGGACTATAAGAAAATCTAATGAATAGGAGTAGCTCTTGATTACCTGCGACTAAAGTTGATTCTTCTTGAAAATAAACGACGACGACAACGACGACGACGACAACGACAACGATGAAGAAAACAAGACGTCATGTCGCCCCCGCAATTTATTAACTTTCGCCTACGAGATCTTACAAGCTTCCATTTATGGGGATATGATTATGACATTTTTAAACAACGATGATGCATTGTAAAATAACTTTTGCGACAATAAGTTATAACAACATTGTGAGAAACAAAATATTCCTTTTTTTTTTTTTTTCAAACACACACCTTATTATTTTATTAGAAAATTAGAATAAAGAACATGAAGAGAACTTGAGGATACTAATTTAAGAAAAGAAAAAAACAAACAAAAAGGAAAAATGAAGGAAGACAAAAATTAATAATCTTTTGTAATCACTGTTAACACACAAACACACAAAAAAACACTTAAATACAATCCCCACAAACTTTGACTAAGTCCTTGTAAGGCAACGTGACGTTTATTGAAACTTACCCTCAATGTGTCGCCATGACAGTTATGCAAAGGGGAAAACATTGGTTGCTATAGAAACCATCGTAATTCGATGGGGGAAAGAATCTTGTTGAATACTCTAATTAATTTATTTAATCGATGTTTATATATTATTAATTAATCTTCACATTATTATTGTATTCTTTTTTTAAAAGTTAGATCGTAGAATCAAAAAATGTATTTTAATATAAGGAAAGATGAATAGGCTTGTTGTTGTTTAGGGTATACCACGTTGCAAAAGGTTTTGATAAGTATCTAGAAAGGATATAGAATAATAATTACAATGATTATAGTCTACACATATCATTTATTATTCCTTTTCTTTACACATCAGTGATTCTACGATCGTTGGTCCTTGCGATCGATGATCTCTTAATTCTCCTTCAATCATTTTGTACGTGGGATCGAGTTATATCAATGAAAATGATTAAAATGAGATGATAATCGAATGATGAATAATTACGTTAGTGTCTCAATTTTGTTTTTTACCGCCAAATTTTATCAATGTATTTCTACATGAACAAAAAAATATGACTAAAATGTCATGTAAACGTATAAGGTTATTTACATGTTTTATTACAAAATTATTATTAAAAATAGAATATGATTTAAGGAACTAATATTTAGTTAGGAATTAGGATAAATAATTGTTAATATATTTACAGAAATGAAAGAAAATTAATA